TTTATTTTTTTCAGTTCTCCCGACTAGATCACAGGATTAGGCCCTCATCAACAGGTGTTTGTTCAGAAAGCTGGGTTGAGGGGGGTGCTCAGTTCTGTGCAGGTGGGTGGCCCCAGCAGTGTGGCCTCTAACAAGAGTGCCAGGGACTTATTCTTTCCACTTCACAGTTTGCCCCAGTCCTAGCTAAACATTTTCCTCTCCTCTTTGCCAAATACTATCTCCCCATTCTTGTCCTTAGGGATTTATGGATTTCCTGGTTTTCTTTGCCTAGTCACTGCTGTATGCTTTCCCGACTCCCACCCACACCTTCCTCCCGTTGTGCATTCCTTGCCCTTACCCTTGTCCACTGATAAAAGAGCCCTTGATGGAGCATACCCTCACTTTCCTCTTTTTAATACCAATGCTCCCATTTTCTGAAAGCCCCTGCAGGTGTGGAGTGTGGCGTTCGATGTTTTATGGTTTTGTAGCTGCTTTCATCCTTACAGCAATCCTTGCAACCCTTCTGTTTTGTTAATTATTTCTATCTTGTGGATCAGGAATGGACACATTATAGGCTGCAGATAGTTAGGCTGGTAAGGACGACCACAGTTAGTGAGGTCAGCGAGCCAGGCATTTCCTGTATATTTAACAGTAGAGTCAGGGCTCTCGACTTGGCTGTGGACTCAGTCTACTTGATCATGGGTCAGGAGCTCTCTTGACTTTTTCTTGAATAAACAAATAAATCTCACCTTTATCTTAAAATTGAGATATATACATAAGGGTGCCTGGGTGGCTTAGTTGGTTAAGCCTCCAAACTCAGGTCATAATCTCATGGTTCATGGGTTTGAGCCCTGAGTTGGGCTCCATGCTGACAGCGTAGAGCCTGCTTGGGATTCTCTCTGTCTCCCTCTCTCTCATCCCTTCCCCCGCTCGTGCTCTCTCTCAAAATAAATACATAAACTTAAAAAAAACACTAAAAAATATTAAAATTGAGATATACCTATAGAAGAGTGCATGAATCATATGTGTATAGCTCAGTGACTTTTCACCAGGGACACTGACAAAGCCCCTCTCACGTTCCTTGCAATAGCTGTGGGGAATCACCACTCTGGATTAATATTACAGATGAATTCTGCCTGTATTTGAAATTCTATAAATCCAGTCATTCCATGTACATTCTTTGGTGGCTGGCCTCTTTCTGAATTCAGGCTTGCGAGGTATTTATTAAATCCTCACTCTCAATTTATAAATTCCCCTTCCTGGTTGATTTTACTTTTCCTTGTTCTTCAATAAGTAGGAAATCTAAGTTTCCTTCTGGGAAGTCTTTAACGTTGCCATGATATGCCATCAATGTGGCCTTTTCTCAACAAGATTCTTGTTCTTCCTGTAGGTGAATAACTAATTCCAGGCTCTCATTTGCTCCCCTCATTTTTCCTCCCAGTTGATCCCTCTTGGAGACCTATCAGCCCTTTGCATCGGTCTGGTTTGTTCATTTGATTAGGCTTTCCAGCACAGTGGGCAGCACCAGCTTCCTGCAAGGCCCCCTGTGACTGATGTATTAACATCCATATGGGTTTCTCCTGGGACCAAGCAGTGTTTACAGCTTCTGGCTGCAGTTCAGTACTCTGTGAATCCATTTTAAATTGCCTCAGTATGATATCACAGCCCACCTGTGTGGTTTAAAGAAGGGGACACCTGGGAGAGAGGCAGGTATCTTCCAAAAATGAGTGTACAGCTCTCTGTCTACACTTTGTGCATCGATTTTAATCTGGATCATTTAACTCTATAATAAGTGGGCTTCCAGTTGAAACAAGGTAAAATTGTCTTCCCCTAAAAATCTAGAATTGCTATAAGGGTGCCTGATGGAAAGTTTGCCCACCTGGGGGCACGCACCTTGATTTATGGCAGACCAAGAAACTAACCTTCACACAGCGCCATTATTCTCACAGCATAGAAAGCTTTAAGAGGCAAGTTCTCTCCCCACGTCAGCCATTGTTCTAACCAAATACGTTCAGTTCAATTGTTTTATGAAAACGCTCTGGTCATTTCTCTAAGCTTCACCTGGCGGTTTGTTATTTTCAGACTCAACTCATGGTACCTGATGTCTGGGTCACATAACTTACTACTGGACCTTGAAGAATTCTTCCAGAACATGAATAGAGTTAATCTCCAGTTCTTGTGGTCCTATCTTCAGGGCAATACAGTGAATGTTATTTGATTCCAACCCCAAATATCTTGTAATAAATAGCATAGGTTCAATTAACTACAGTGTGCTTATATTAGAATTAGAATATCATGTGGGCTTGATGTGTTACTAAGGACACCAAAGGATACCGTTGGGTAAAAAACAGGAAATTTAGTGGTGTGGTGTTGTAAGGGCTTGGAGCTGTAGTTGTTTTGTATGCATATTTATTTTCTAGGGCATTCTGTAGGGTTCCTATTATGTGTGCTCAATTATTCAAATTAAGAGTAATGTTAAGGATTTGGTTCAGCTAGCCATTTAAGATTAGTTACTGGAACCAGTCTGTCAGGAAATACCATATATCTAAGATTGTGTTGTTTGGTTTGGGGTCAAGGCAGTTCTTTTTCAAGCCTTCCACGTATGATATTTTGCGTTCATAAAGAGAAAATAATAGCCTAATTTTCTTCTCAAGCTTAGGGAATTATGTGGGTTTTATGTGCAGGCATGTTGGAAACCTAATAACCTTGTATCAGTTTTCAATTTTGTGCGTGCTAAGTTATTGTACAAAATTTGAGTGAACGTTTAAATGAAAATTTGAGTTCTGTGGTAATACCCATGGTCTTTAGATCTGTAAAGGGAATATAAGGTGCCAATGACAAGTTCCAGAAAGTGCCCCAGACTTATCCCAGAGGGTTATGGAAACTCTACATCCTTCATTTATTATATATGCAGACCTATAGAAAAGGCTTAATGTTGAACTTCTAGACTGCCTAGTGATGTTTCAGATAAGAAGAAAGTGAACATAGTGGTCTCTTCAAAAGTGTCATGTGCATAATTCCATCTGCTTGGATGCTGGGGGCGGGTATTAGCACTTCTGTACCTTCCACCTTCTTTTTTTTTTAATGTTTATTTCTTTTTTTGAGAGAGAGAGAGACAGAGCACGAGAGGGGTAGGGGCAGAGAGAGGGAGATACAGAATTCGAAGCAGGCTCCAGGGTCTGAGCTTGTCAGTACAGAGCCCGATGCGGGGCTCGAACCCACGAACCATGAGGTCATGACCTGAGCCGAAGTCGGACGCTTAAGTGAGCCACCCAGGTGCCCCTGCATTTTCCACCTTCTAAAGTGTCTTTTCTTTGTGCATGTTTTATATCTGTAATATATTATTGCTTGGAGTTTAAATCATTAGATCACAAAACATAAAATATGCCTTAAGATTTTGAGGTGGAAACAAATATGTACTGGGATTAGGTTTGTATTTAACAGGAGAGGAAAACAATAGCTTAAGCAACATGAAGGTTTATTTCTCTCTCCCATAAAAGATCCTGGCTGTCAGTAGCCCAGGGCAGGTCTCACAGCCCCACAGTGTCACAGGGCCTCTGCATCCTATCTTTGTGTTCTACTTCCTTCAGCAATTGATTCCATCTTCAGAGTCACCTTGAAGGTGACCCCAAAAGGGCTGGCTGAGCAAGGCACCTTGCTCATAGTTGAGGCAGTGGAAGGAAGAAGAAAAAAGGACGGGAATCCTGATCTTCCTCACTTAAAATTTTTTTTTTCTTTTAATTAATCGCCTTTGTTTTTTAGAGCAGTTTTAGGTTCATAGCAAAATTGAGCCAAAAGTACAGAGAGCTTCTGGATCCCCTGGCGTCCCTCTCTTTGAAGTTATGAACCACATGCCCCTAGCAGCGCATGTATGTTGAGCATGTACCTCTTACTGCTGAAAACGTGGCATACCTAGCCAAAGGGAAGTTGGGGAGGGTACCAAAGAGTACTTTGCTGCCTTAGATAAAACTGGGGTTCGTGGCCAAGGTAGGGAGATTGTTGAGGAGAAAACTTGAAATCTGTCATAAAGTTGGAGTGCCTGGGTGGCTCAGTTGGTTAGGCCACTGACTTCGGCTCAGGTCATGATCTCACGGTTCGTGGGTTCTAGCCCCGTGTCGAGCTCTGTGCTGACAGCTCAGAGCCTGGAGCCTACTTCAGATTCTCTGTGTCTCTCTCTCTCTCTCTCTCTCTCTCTCTCTCTCTGCCCTAGCCTCCCCCAAAATAAAAATATACATCAAAAAAAAAATCTGTCATAAAGCCAATCGTTTATTGGGGCACCTAGGTGGCTCAGTCAATTGAGCATCTGACTTCGGCCCAGGTCATGACCTTGTGGTTTGTGGGTTTGAGCCCTGCGCCGGACTCCCTGCTGTCAGCACAGAGGCTGCTTTAGATCCTCTGTCCCCCTGTCTCTCTGCCCCTCCTCTGCTCACGCTCTGTCTCAAAAATAGATAAACATTTAAAAAAAGAGAGAATCTTTTATTATTTTTTCTTGATTATGCAAAAGAGTAACTTCAAGCCTGAAACTGGTACGTTTAGAAGTGTTTTCATATGTTAGTGTTGGAATATAGTGTTTACTGTGTGAAATTATTATGAGTTCTTGAGGGCTTCATCTGAAGCATAAAAAATAATCATTTAAAATTATGGTAAGAAATCATACAATTATACAGGGTGTGTTGGGAAGGAGGTATTTTATGTTAATTAGGAAGCGTGGTTAGCGTCGTAGATGGGATTTGAAGGGATGCTTTCTGGAATGGTTAGGCACAATTGAGAAATTTCTAAATATTTAAAAAATACAGTTTAATATATGTACACCCTAGACTTCTGCTATTATGTATTTTAAATTTGTTCCTTCGGTAAATACTTCAGCTTCTGTTGATTTCAGAAGAGAATCATGAGGAGACTCGTTCTTTCCTCTTCTTCCTCACAGAAGCTGCTGAGGTGATGACTAACTGCTTTATGATCCGTGTTTTCTCTGTCTCCTCTCCTGTCTCTCTCTCTCTAACTGTCCCCTTCCCCAAAAGTGCATACTCCTTCCACGTCACCGCGGACGGTCAGATGCAGCCCGTCCCTTTCCCCCCCGACGCCCTCATCGGACCCGGCATCCCCCGCCACGCGCGCCAGATCAACACCCTGAACCACGGGGAGGTGGTGTGCGCGGTGACCATCAGCAACCCCACGAGACACGTGTACACGGGCGGGAAGGGCTGCGTCAAGGTCTGGGACATCAGCCACCCCGGCAACAAGAGCCCCGTGTCTCAGCTCGACTGTCTGGTGAGCGAACAGGAACTGGTGCACAAGGGTAATGTCTCCCTGGAGACTCAATAAGGAAATAGCTGTTTGGGCCTGGGTTTTATTCCCATTATGAGGAAATGGAAGCCCTTTCTGTTTCCTGCGTTAGCTATTTAGCCCCCGCACCACCACCACCCCGCCCGAAATGTGAAGGTTTCATTTGTTGCTGTTTCAGTGGTTAAATCCCAGAGTTGATGGATTTCTTTCACAAAATATTTTACAGTGGTTTACAGAAGCTGTCCTTGTTTGAACGTGTACTCAGAAGGGGGTTTCCCATTGAACTAGGCCTGGACTCTGAGCCCTGCGGTCCACTTAACTTGTGATTTCCCTACAGCCTTTGCATAAATATTGAATAGTAAACATTTCATAATGTGGCATAAAAACCATTCTGAACAGGGCCTGTGTTTTCAGGGAGACCTGGGAGGGCTGGCTGGGTTTTATTACCTTAACTTCGGGAAAGGTTAATAGATCACACTGCAAGGAAACCGGGCGGCCATCCGCAAAACTGGAACGGTGAGAACGCTTTCCCAAGGCACCCGAAGCCACCTCCTCCCAGAGTATGAGGATGCCATTTTGCATTTTTCAGGATCCATACGCCATGTTGGGACATGTTCCCTTCTCTGAACTGTAACCCCAGAATTTACAGACCACGTACCATTGGCCCTAAGCAGACTAAAGGCCACCTTGCCCCTGATGTGGTGTCTGCTTGCACTTCACCGTGATGGGTGGAACAGTTCACCTGCTGCGTGCCTAGCAACTGGTGAGGATTCCAGAGACAGAGTGTTCAGAAAGAAGAACGGTGTTTTTGAGATACAAAAGCCTTTTTTGGAGTAGTTATTGATTTATTTTATTTTCAATTTTATTTTTTAATGTTTATATTTTTGAGAAAGAGAGAGACAGAGTGCAAGTGGGGGAGAGACAGAGAGAGAGGGAGACAGAATCTGAAGCAGGCTCCAGGCTCCGAGCTGTCAGCAGAGCTTGACATGGGACTTGAACCCATGAACCGAGAGATCGTGGCCTGAGCTAAAGTCAGACACTTAACCAACTGAGCCACCCAGGCGCCCCATTGATTTATTTTTTAATCAGATAACTTTATTTTTATTTTAATATTTATTCATGAGAGAGCGAGCGCAAGCGGGGGAGGGGCAGAGAGAGGGAGACACAGGATCTGAAGCAGGCTCTGTGAATCGGACGTGAGGCTAGAACTCACAAACTATGAGATCATGACCTGAGCCGAAGTCTGATGCTCAACTGACTAAACCACCCAGGCGCCCAAATCAAATAACTTTAAAAAAATCTCCATTAATGAAATTGAAACACGCTGAAACATAGCCGGACATTCTAAAATAGTAGGAGTATTTTGTAACGTTCATCGCCTCTTTTGAAATTTATGAGTAATAGGTCAAAGCATAGTGAAAACTTTAGCTCGGTCTATTTGGGTTGAAGAATAGCAATTACTTCTTTCAGGGAGGGGAGGGTTATTTTAGGTCTCACCTTACTTTTTTAATGTGTGTTGCTTTCGATAGGAAGATGCCATCTTTTATCGATTTCTTTGGACTGAGAGGCTTGAATAGAGAAAGCAGCTCTGTTAAATTCTTAGTAAGGATCCACATGACTAGTGCAAGCCTTAGGTAGAGATTTAAGAGTAAAGAAAATCAAAACCTAGGCAGTAGGTCTGCAGTTTCCAAATAGTAAATAATGGAGGGTGGTGAGGTCGGACATTTATAAGCTAGCTTTGAAAAGTGGTTTCTTCATAGAGAGGTACATGTACACCTATCTTGCATCCACTGATCATTTCAGTTCTTTCTACTCAGCAGGAAACTGAACGTCGGGAACAGTTCTATCCAAATGTTTGCACGTGCCCAAGCAAGCCCAGGAGTTTGTTTTATTTACCGTTTCAAAGGGGACAGTTACAACTCGATCCCAATTTTTACAACAGAACTCTTGCTTTATTAAATAGCGTCCATGAAATACTATTTTTCAAGTCGAAAACCAAGATAGCAGTTAGAGAACATGGGATTGTTAGTGCTGGCTAATGCATCATAGCAATTGAATTACATTTATTTCACAGAACAGAGATAACTACATCCGTTCCTGCAAATTGCTCCCTGATGGTTGCACCCTCATCGTGGGAGGGGAAGCCAGCACTCTGTCCATCTGGGACCTGGCGGCTCCGACCCCGCGCATCAAGGCGGAGCTGACGTCCTCGGCCCCTGCGTGCTACGCCCTGGCCATCAGCCCCGACTCCAAGGTCTGCTTCTCGTGCTGCAGTGACGGCAACATCGCGGTCTGGGACCTGCACAACCAGACGCTGGTGAGGTGAGCAGACATGGTTGTCTATGGTGGGTGTTCCCTCCTTAGGTACCTGGGCTTGAAGGCCTCCTGTCCCCTCGGTTTCTCTGGCTGCACCCAGGCTCTCGGCCCATGTTCAGAGCCTCTTGTGTGCCAGGCTGGGAGTTCCAGGTATTGGGAGTATGAAGACAAAACTGTGGCAGTTGCCCTCTGGAGGGCTTATAGTCTGGCTGCTATGCTCAGTGTCCCCCACAATTTATATTTACCTCCCTGATGTCCCCATTCTTCAGCCACTTGCAGTTGCCAGACCTGTCCAAAAAGTATTCCTGATTTTTGCCAAGGGGCAGCACGTGCACCATGGATTACCTGGCAGTATCAAGGGTCCTTAATGCTCGATGTTTTTGGCTTTGGCTAGAACTTTGTGCAAATAGGAGCCGAGTGATAAAGGAGAACAGAAAACCAACAAAAGGACATGAGAAGAGGAGATACCATGAATTTTACTCGCAAAATGATTTTATTTATTTTTTTCTAAATGTTTATTCAGTTTTGAGAGAGAGAGCGTGAGCAGGGGAGAGGCAGAGAGAGAGGGAGACAGAGAAGCTGGCTCTGCCTGACAGCAGACAGCTCAATGTGGGGCTCAAAGCCACGAACCGTGAGATCATGACCTGAGCCAAAGTCGGACGTTTAACTGACTGAGCCACCCAGGTGCTCCCACAAAAATTATATTAAAGTATACATGTTTCTCAGTAACTAAATCAGCCCTTTCCAGGGGTTACTCCACCCAGGAATGGGCCCAGCTTCCTGGAATCATTCCTCTGAACTGTGACAGCTGCAGTCCTGGCATCTCTGTGTCTCTTCTCGGCTCTGGCCACCTCATTCCCTCTGCCGAAATCAAAGTCCACACTTACAACAAAGTCTTTGTAAAGGGAAGCACTAGCTAAACATCCCAGGGAAAACCTGTCATCTTTTGCTTTTTTGTTTTCTATTTCATCTTCGCTCGGAAATGGTCTTTGTTGATAGTGTGATTTTAGGCGTGTAGATTATTTAGCCAGGGCTCTTCTCATGCTTTGGGCCCAAGTGCCACAGTGAAGGGGACAGACTTTAGGAGTCATTATAGCAGCTTCGTCTCCCTTCAGACCTCTTCTGTAGAAATCCAGTGTCACCAAACCAGGCTCTGTCCCTGCGTACGGGTGACACTCTGGTAGTAATTTTTCCCTTGTAGGGCACTGGGCAACTCAGAATGAGCAAAATTGACAAACGTAGCTGGAGCTGACAGCCACTTCAGACTTTTTTAGCCTAGCAAGTGTTTGTTGTTTTTCTTTTCTTCTTCTTTTTTTTAAAGTTTATTTAGTTTGAGAGAGAGAGAGAGAGAGAGCGCGCGCAGGGGAGGGGCAGAGAGAGATGGGGAGAGAGAATCCCAAACAGGCTCCACACTGCCAGCACAGAGCCTGATGCAGGGCTGAAACCCACGAACCATGAGATCATGACCTGAGCCAAATCCAAGAGCCAGATGCTGAATGACTGAGCCACCTAGGTGCCCCTCTTCCTCTTCTTTTTTTGAAAAAAATCTTAATAAATAGCACTTTCAAAATTTTAATTCTAAGTGCTTTTCAAACACTAATCCTTTTAATCCTCATAATGTCTGCATTGTAATTATCCTAATTTTATAGATGAGGAACCCGAGGTACAGAGAAGGTAAAAGTCAGCTTGTCTGCTCACACATTCGGGCGTGGGGGAGACGTGATGGGGTGCAGGCGTGCTGCTCTCCTGTCTGTGCCCTGAACCCCTGCTCTGTGCTGGCTCCCGGGAGTAAGCACCTGCTGGATACAATGGGGTAGTGCTTTACAAATGTCTTGCTCCGTGTGGGCTGACCACATGCGGCTAGTGGCTACTCTGTGTGAGAGGGTAGCACAGAGTCTGCTGAGCATCTCAGTATCTACCGAGACCCACCACAGCCTGGACAGTCCTGGTATCTGCCTTCTAGGAGGCTGAGGTAGTGCTGCGATGTGCGGACAGGGGGGTAGAGGAGCCACCACCAAGCACCTGAAGTCAGAAGAGAACAGCATTTGTAGTCAAGGCGAGAAAGTATTTTATGACCTCTAGAGGATGCAGAGGGAGGTCACTGGGTTTCCAGAGCAGTTTGATGGAAAGAAGAGCAAATCAGCTTTCAAAAGCTGCATCTGGGACCGGCGTGACCCACGGGGGAGTCTTGGAGGCAAGCTGGGGTGGTTGGGGGAACGTTTGTGTGCATGGGACAGGGGTGGGGGCAGAGAACTAAGATGAACATTCAGAATGGCTTTTGGAGGAACAATTTTTGAAATGATAGCTCTCACCTTGTCTCAGAATTCACAGCAAGTGGTGCTTTTGTCTTATCTTCCATGCTCTTTAAATTCCAAGTTCAGTTTAAAAGTTTGGAGCTCTGTGGGAAAAATAAGGGGGGGAAGGGCACCTAGAGGAAGGACAGACATAGAAACCTTCCTCTGAGTGTTGAAATTCCCAAGCCACTCGAATGCATCCCGCCTAATTCACCATAGTGGTTGGCCGTGTTCTGGTCACTTCCCTGCCGGTTCCCTGTTGGCATGCAAAACCGGGTCCGGGACCCACAGATCACCAACCCTGCGGTAGCTCACTTTTGCCTACCCCTCAGCAAACCCTGCCTTTGGCCTGGCAAAGCATCTGTGCTCAGTGAGTCCCTGTTAGTTGATTGGTTTTGGTAGTGTTTTTTGACTGAAGCACAAGGTTTCCCTTTCAGAGAACAAGCATGTGCTCAGCTTCCAGGCAGGGTCCTGCAGAGGTGCCCATGGGGCCGCCTCAGCAATTAGCTCTGACTCTGTTCAGCACCCCTAAGTCAGGAGGCCAGCATGACCCTTTGTCTCTGGGAGTCCAGATTTCCTAATGCAGGGCTCTTTCTAATACAGAAAGCAAGGTTGAGTAAATACGTGAGCTCATGCTTTGTTGGCATGAAGGGCATTGCTGTGTTGATTCACTCATGGAAAAGGAGTGCTTCTGGACCCTGAGCTTATAATGTAGTGATGGAGGCCTACCTCTTTCCTTAGAGAATACACGTGGGATTTTGTGTGTTTGTCCTTTTTCTTTTCTTTTCTTTTCTTTTTTTCTTTTAACACTCAAACACTTTTTCCAGACCTGGGAGGAATTTTCCCTTCCAGACGGATTTGTAAGAAGAGCTGTAAGAGTGTATTTAGCTTCTCCCGTATGATGACCTAAAGTGGCATTCCATTTCTTTAACGCTTGGATTGCGAAAAAAGAAAATCCGCAAGTGCTGTTTCCTCCTCAGGGTGGGGGATGTTAGTTTGATCTTGCACATCAGAAGACACTGAGAGATCACACCCACACACACACACACACACACACGCACACCCACACACACACACTGAGTCCAAAACTAACAACACAACAGTGTTTACCTTGAGCTCTGGCAGGAAATCATTATTCAATCTGGTTTGTTTTATCAGGCAATTCCAGGGCCACACAGACGGGGCCAGCTGTATTGACATTTCTAATGATGGCACCAAGCTCTGGACGGGCGGCCTGGACAACACGGTCAGGTCCTGGGACCTGCGAGAAGGGCGGCAGCTACAGCAGCATGACTTCACCTCACAGGTGACGGGCTTTTCCCCACCAGGAATCTCTGTGTGGGGCGTCCTGCTCCCTCCCTTCACATCTCATGGTAATAACAACTGGGCCAACAGACCAAGCTTAAATTTGAGATACTGATTAAAAACAACAACAACCCACAGACAAGCAGAACCCCTGAAATGCTTAGAGTGGTTTCTAAAACCCTACTGGTTAAGACCTGCTAGTTGTTTACTTCTACAGGAGTTCATTGAAGGAATTTGTTCAGTGAAGAATAGACGGTTGGACCTGTTGTATATGTTCCCACCATGTAATGTGGGGGTGAGAGAAGATTATTTGATTCACATATAAATAGAGCTTGAAAAATATGCAGGGTTATTATAAGGAATAGAGAACAATCACAACACTCTGGAGTTAATTCATTTCCCTTGCATCAGGGAGCTTAAAAAAGACAGCAGTATCTCACTGGAGGCCCATTTTATTATTCAACCCTTAGAAAATGGACTCAATGGCTGACTAGATTTATGGAAGTTTGAAGTGATATAAAATGGCAACTTTATGGATTGTGAAGACTATCTAGATGTGGAGTATCTGAATCTGAATCTAGACCTGCTTTGGGAAAGACATTGCCTTGTTAAGTGCCTTCTGTTGGTAGAATTGTTCTTTTGATTACGACATGTTTACAAGTATGTGTTTTACTAAATTTCATGTCCCTGTTAATCTTTTGTTGAGTTTCTTATAGTCTTCCTCATTCCAGTCTTTTTCCAAATATATGGAGGGTACTATTTTTGGTCTGCCTTTTTTTTTTTTAAAGCTTCTTAAAATGCCCATCACCCAGCTTTATAGTTTCTAACCCATGACCAGTCTGGTCTCATGTATCATCCCTGCCCCCAAACACTGGATTATTTTCAATATTGGGTTTTTTTTTTTAAGTTTATTTTTATTATTCATTTTGAGAGAGTGCAAGTGGGGCAGAGAGAGAAGGAGAGAGACAGAATCCGCACTGAGAGTGCAGAGCCCGATGCGGGGCTCAAACTCATGAACCATGAGATCATGATCTGAGCTGAAATCAAGAGTCAGACACTTAACTGACTGAGCCACTGAGGCACCCCTGCACTGGATTATTTTAAAGTAAATCTCAGACACTATCTGCAAGTGTTTCAGTTAGTATCTGCAAAAGACAAGGACCACCTTCAAATGCCATATACACAAATGCTATTATTATTAAGAATAATTTCTTAATTTAATCACATGTGATAAGTGTTCCAAGTTTTCCGATTGTTTCATAAAGGTTTTCCACACTTGGCTTGTCTGGGTTCGGTCTCTTGTGCTGTGGACTATGCTACAATCTGGAGTTTGCTGATTACATCCCCTCTTCTTGCTATTTTCCCCATTTCTTGTTTATCACTTCTCAGTTCATTGGGCAAAATCACTAGTGAGCCTGTTCTGCTTCCTACAGATATTCTCCCTTGGATACTGCCCAACTGGGGAGTGGCTGGCCGTGGGCATGGAGAGTAGCAATGTGGAAGTTCTTCACGTAAACAAACCCGACAAGTACCAGCTGCATCTCCATGAGAGCTGTGTGCTGTCCCTCAAATTTGCTTATTGTGGTGAGTTTAGCGGAAAGGAAACGGGAGGACACCGATGGCCTCAATGGAAAATACTTCTAAAAAAATAATTACAGTAGAGATCATGTCTGGAAAAAATGTTCTCTGAGCAGCTGGATGCAATCATTCTATTGTCTTAATATGTCCCTCAGAGCATAGTGATGTCCGTTTCGGCCTGTTTTCGTAATGGGAGAAAGGTCAGCAGGTGATGCAGTTGCCTAATATGATATTTTGACACAGATTTTTTTTTTCTTTTTTTTTTAGCGGGGGAGTCTGAGGCAGAGGTGGAGGACAAGTAGTTACCACTCTGAAGGGGGGCAGGATTTATAGAAGCCTGGGGCAGCCACGTTGGAAGTCATTATGGACTGAGGAGGAGAGGGAAGTAGGGTCAGAGAAGAGAATATTTTTAGCTCCCCTCAGACCATTATACTCTGCAGTGAAGATGAAGAAGTTCATGTAGGGTCAAATATTTGTTCTCAGGATGGATGGAGAGATGTGTAGCCATTAGTCCCTGAGCCCATTCTATGTGCCATGCGTCATGTCTGGCATTTTACTTAAGTTCATCATTTATTCCTTCCTAGTCCCATTTCATCAAGAGGAGACTGAAAGAACAGCAGCTTCACTGATTCACTATTTGAGGACCCGCTGTGTGCTGGGTGTGATGCTACCCAAAGTGTATCCATCTAGTGGCTAATGGGGCTGACACGGTCCCTGCCACTGCTTTGACAAAACCCAAGACCACAGATGGTTCATAGTGGAGCCCAGATTCAAAACCTGCTCTCTCTACTCAAGTTCTAGCCTAACCCGTTGGACATGATAGTTCATGATTAGAAATGCGTGGAGTTCAATTAAGTCCAGGTTGCTAATAGTATAGCAGGAATTTTAATATTGTTGAACTACATGTTCCTTTGCTAATTCTAGGTAAATGGTTTGTGAGTACTGGCAAAGACAACCTCCTCAATGCTTGGCGGACCCCCTACGGAGCTAGTATATTCCAGGTAAGTCAGCGCTCCTTACCAAGAATGACAATTTGATCACGGCATTCGCTGTGACTCCAGGAGCGAAGGTGCCTTCGGAAGCCTGGGGGGGGAGCAGGGCCCCTGAGTATCTCTATTCACATTAAACGTGAGCCTGTTGTTTTCTCTTCCAGTCCAAAGAGTCCTCGTCCGTGCTTAGCTGTGACATCTCTGTGGATGATAAGTACATAGTCACTGGCTCAGGGGACAAGAAGGCTACAGTCTACGAAGTCATCTACTGAAAACATTATGTGGTTTCACATTTATAGTTGAATTGGGCCAAAATGTTTTGAATTTGTAGAAATAGAAAAGTTGTAATTTTAAAAGGAAAAAAACAACAACGTGAAAACCTATTTCCAAACCTTGACACAAAACTACTTTGAGTCTATAAAGAGGAGGCGATGAGTCCATCAACTGAAGGTCACCTATCTACCTAGACCAAACGGAGCACCGAGGCAAAGTGGGCAGAGGGGCCAAGGGGTAGGCAGAGCCTGTTTTGTTTTTTTTTCTTTCTGTGTGATCTGCCGAGATTACCTTTCTGTTCCTTGCAGTTCCCCTCAATGTTCTGTGCTTGGTAGAGCAGTGGTGTCTCCAATGAACTTGTTTCTTGGTTTTGCATCTTGTGAAATGTTTTTTTGTATTTTTGTTGAAGGTTAAACATTTGTATAAATTGTAAATATATTTGGTTTATTACAGTAAAGGCTTTAGTACCAATAAGTGGTTTTCCTTTTCCTTCTTTGTTATTTTTAATCAAAGCTTTGGGATCATTGATGGGGGTTTTATAAGCAAAGTTCACATATTTGCAGAAGTTTAAAAATGAATGCACCTCTTAATTTATAAATATATTTGGACGTCGACTTGCATCACACTAGAACCTAATCAACACGCCTGAGTTACCGGGAACTCAAGACTAGGAATCCTCAGTAATTGAAGGTTTACTAATGGCAGTTTTATCTGGGAAGCTAAAGTGACTTCATCAGGATTCATGTTTTTGCTAAGATACTCTTGTGATTGGAGGTCACAGATTAAAGCTCTGCTTTTTCTTGGTGAATCCTTGGGAGACAGAACATTGTCTTCTGAATGAAAGCCCAGCATCTTCAAATTTTTATTTTCTCCCTTGGCAAGCATCACATCTCAAGACATGTGGGTGACTTGGGTTTAGTGTTAAGACTGATGATATTCACAAAGCTATGGAATTCATTAACCTGTAAAAAAAAGGTTGGGATGCCAACTGATTTTGTCTCATTAATACTCATTATAATACTCATTATAATTTGATTATATGGAATGACTTAGCCAACCACACCAGCACTGAGCCCCGTTCTTTTCCTTAAGACTTTCCCTGAAGCTTCTAGCCATTTCGATCTCTCATTAGTGTGGTCTTCCTCTTTGTGGACAAGCTTTCATTGATTTGATTAGATGAAATCTGTAATCCCAGGCTTTTAATAAGTTGACTATGCATGTTTCTTCCCCAAAATGCTCCATGTCTCACTCTTCATATACCTATTATTTACTGTTAGGTTTTAGGAAATAATGGTGAAAATTTTTAAACCAAGTTTCCTGGCTGTTTAAAAATAGCACCTAAGGAATTTTTAATGTTCTTGTTTTCTTATGATCCAGCAAGTTGTTGGAAGTTTGTCTTAATATTTTTCGTTTGTTACCCAGACCGTCTTGTTTTTATACATTTAACAGTATTTTGTTTGCTTTTTACCAAAATATTTGTTTGTACACAGTTTGTTAAATATTTTCTCTTCTCATTAAGTGAATGGCAAAGCCCTAATTACTGAAGCTGATTTCTCTCTCATCCTTTCCTTATCTAATGAAGTAGGTTTCTATATTATAGACGCTGATGACTTATTACTGTAGTATTTATCTTTTCTGTTCTCTCTCTCCTTTCCTGCCTTACTTCCCTATATTATGTAATAGAAGGGGAGAAGTCAAGTTGCTAGAACAGAGACCCAACAATACAGTGGCTCAGAGACCACAGGTGCTCGTGTCTCACGGAGAGGCCCAGGCCAGCGGTACAACTCTATGCTCTCCTGCTTCTTCAGTCATCACCACTTCCAGCCACGAGTGGGGATAGTCAAAGTCCAGGGGGACAGATGTGCTTTCCAGCAGATGACTTAAGAATTTGTTCATTATTTCCATTGGCTGGGACTTAGTCACGTGGGATACTGGGCAATGAGGTCTCTTGCTTGCTGTGCAGCTCTGTGCCCATTAGGAAGAGCGGGGCACAGGGGCATCTGGGTGGCTCAGTCGGTTCAGCATCCAACTCTTGGTTTCAGGTCAGGTCATGATCTCATGGTTTTGTGAGCTTGAGCCCCACGCCGGGCTCTGTGCTGACAGTGCGGAGCCTGCTTGAGATTCTCTCTCTGCCCCTCCCCTACTCATGCTCTCTCTGTCTCTCTCAGGATAAATAAATAAACTTGAAAAAAAAAGAGGGGGCACATGTCAAAGGATTCTGGGTTAAAGAAATAGCCCCATTTTCTGTTGGTGTATTTTTTTCCTTCCATGTTTTCTTGTTTCCCAAGTTTCTGATATTATTTCTCTAATGAGATTTTCTGAGGATTTAGACCTTGTCAACTCCTCGATTATCTTGGATCTGATGAAACCACTTGCATTTGCTAGTTTGGTGCTGGAAGAGACATTCCAGAGCTAGTCCTGCTCCTCGGGTCAGGGTGTTTGGAATCTTGGGGAATTGTGGAGACAAGTACTTCCCTACTTGTAAAATGGGAACAATACCATAGTCACGCCTGCCTCTCAGAGTCCTGTCAGAAGCAGGTATGTGAAGTGGGACTGAGTAGCAACTGTTTCACAATTGGAGGATGTGAGTGGGAAAACAATTTTTTCCTAAACTGAGATTAGGAGTCACAGTCTTGCCTCCAAGGAGACTGGAATCCTGGGATTGTTGTAACCCTGGTGAACCAAATGTTAGTGTACCCCTTGCCTTGCATATGGATTACAAATTTGGGTTCAGTGAATTCGGATTCAACTAGACATTCACTGATCATCTGTATTTGCCAAGACCTGTGCTGGTGGTTTCACCTATAAAATGTTAGGAGATGATTGTTATTATCCCTAGATGTATTTAATCTTGTTTTTTTATCATTCACAGTCTTTGCATCCTGTAATGCAGATTTCTGCCATGTAGCTCTCCCATGGAATTGAAGTTCGCTGGGTAAAAATTGAAATCCTGGTGAGATTAGGTTTGGAATGCCTTTTTCATAAATTTATTTTGAGAAAGAGAACAAGCAGGGGAGGGACAGAGAGAGAGGGGGAGAGAATCCCAAGCAGGCTATATGCTCTATCACAGAGCCTGATGTGGGGCTTGAACTCACAAACCCGTGAGATTATGACCTGAGCCAAAATTGAGTCAGACAGTTAACCAACTGTACCACCTGGGCACCCGAGCGGATTTTTTAAAATGTTTTATTTATTTGGGGGGGGGGGGTCAACATGGTAGGGGGGGACAGAGGATCTGAGTGGGCTCCACACTGTGGGGTTTGAACTCAAAAACCACGAGATATGACCTGAGCAGAAGTTGGACGCTCAACCGGCTGAACCACTCAGGTTGCCCCGAGAGAGGATTTTTGATGGCCCGGGTTTTTTTGTTTTGTTTTGTTTTTTTAAGATTTCATGACTGTAAGTAGCATCTGGTTCTACAGCCGTAGAGCATTCATACAGGGATTTTCAAATTGTACTTTTGCTAATGGCACACAGAGGTGGTGACTTTCCCAAAAGTTTTCCAACAAATCAGAGAGAGAGAGCAAATTTTTCAGCATGCTGTTTCATGCCATCAGGAGACTGCTGCTTCTGTCATCAGCTTGAAATCAAGTGATGACATTTCAAACCCTCCACTCTACTGTGGATCCATGGATTGTTTTCTTTTCTGATATCTTCATTCCTCTCTCAGCAACGAAATGGTCAGGTCACCACAGTTCTGGGCTGGCACTTAGTTAAATGTTTGTTAGTTGGGTTCCTGTTTCTAGAAAGAGTTGTTCTCAAACTTCAGGCTGCATCAGAATCACCAGGAGGATCAGATTCAGATTTCTGGGTCCCGGTCTGTGAGTTTTTGAGTCAGTAGATCAGGGTGGGACCTGAGAATTTGTATTTTTCCCAAGTTCCCACTTCGTCATGAGGCTGCTGGTCTGGAGACCACACTTTGAGAGCTGCTAATGTAGAGCAATAATCTTTACAATAGAACTATCAGTGTTCTCAAAAACTATTAGAGTATATTCATATTCTCTTAAGACTGGAACTCTCCCATCTTTTAGGCTTTGTTGGTGAGGATAAAAAGTAAAATGATAACAAAATGCAAGACATACTGTTTTGAAGTGGCTGTTCTTGCATTAGTCTTTGTTCGCCAAACTAACTTTTAAAGCTGACTATTACAACCCATCTAAATGCAAATTGAGTTCTTTAAAAAGTTGCTTTTTTTTACTTAGTCATAACTTAATCTGAGTTATGTGAGTCTCCCATCAGGGTTAGAAAACCTACCAGAATGACCTAATGTAGTGGAAGCCATGCTTAATTGGAGTGGTGATGCATAATTAAAAGTTAGAAATTGTTCTTTGAAAATTGGAATACTTGGTGTGTGTAGAACAATAAACTGCTGACTTTACAGAATGTTTTTGTTCTTCAAATTATCCTATTAGATTCAGTCAATCAGCCAGCATCTACTAAGGATGTGAAGTCGGCACGGGGCAAGGTGGCCACTGGGGCTGGTGGCTAAGGTGGTTTTTTTTTTTTTTTTTCAACGTTTTTATTTATTTTTGGGACAGAGAGAGACAGAGCATGAACGGGGGAGGGGCAGAGAGAGAGGGAGACACAGAATCGGAAACAGGCTCCAGGCTCCGAGCCATCAGCCCAGAGCCTGATGCGGGGCTCGAACTCACAGACCGCGAGATCGTGACCTGGCTGAAGTCGGACGCCCAACCGACTGCGCCACCCAGGTGCCCCAAAGGTGCAGTTTTTTTAATGAGGATTGACTGGGGAAGAATCTGCTGATGGTAACGGAGAGGGATATGGGTGAGGCGCTGCCTTAAGGAAACCCAGCAGTAACAGATGGACAGGCAGCTCTTAACAGTCTTGGATGTAAATTACTCATTTGACATCAGCTGTCTGGGACAACCAATTGTGCCCTTCCAGCAAGTGTTTGGAACTGTTGTGTGCCAGGCACAGGGCCAAGGGCTTCCAGATGTTCTCACATGATAATTTTTTTTTTATTCACAAAAGTATCATA